TCAGGCCCAAGCCCTTCTCCTGCAGAGCTGTGAGGGTTGCACCCTGAAGATCAGATACATCAAACCCACCTAAAACAATCTGCCATTGGAAGCATCTGTTTGGTTACAGCTGTAGTGCAAAAATAGATTGCACAACTCTTATTATGAGAATTGTTGAATGACTCCTCCTACTTCAAGCTCTAGGATAAAAAAAAAAATTGAAAAAGTTTTTTTAATGAGGACTATCTGGTGAGTGTTTCTAGGACAGGCTGCTGCAAACAGCATGAATGCAGTGTTGTTAGGTAGGATCTGTGACCCCCGCACTTCAAGGGAGGAGGATGAGACAAAAATTTAATTATGAGGCAAAAAGAGGAAACAGGTCCACATGGCCTCAGGGACCGGCATAACCTCCAGGAGCGGATAGTTCAAATTAGACCAGCATTGTCAGCCCACACCCACCTTTGACCCTTGAGATTTAATTGCACAAAAAAAAAACTGTATTGTAAAAGACTTTCTTCCTTCTTTACTGTCTTTCTACTCGTTTGTGCGTCTGCGTGATGATCCGAGACGTGGATCATGCTCTACCTGCTCAGCTGCCAGCCTGCTAATCTGAAACGTCCTCCCCGAATGTAACTTTAGCGATGTGTGGTGCAAATCAGAAGCGTGTGTTCTCTGTAAGCTCCTCTCCACGATCCCGCTGCGCAATTGAAGTTAATTCTACAGAGTGAGTCTCGGGTTCACGTTTCGCCACAGCTTTGTAAACGTAGATCATATGGGGTCACCGAGAGGTTGGAGCGGCCCTGTAGCTGTGCGTCGAGTCTCCAAAGATCAGTTACAATGTAATGGCAAAGGAATGTCGCTATTGCACGGAGCTTTGGCTCTAATTAGAGCCAATTGGAGAGTGGGATGTCATTTTATTTTATTCAGAAACATTGTTTGCGTGCTAGTACATTTTGTCTGCATATCCCTTGGCTACTGTTGAAAGTGCTGGTTGACGCTACAGTATGAATTCAAATTATTGTATTTGTGAGAGTGAAATTACACAACGTAATGTATATATCCAGTTTCAAATAAAAAGTTTAATTTATCCATAACAGTCCAATATAAATGCTTGTAAATAATTGAATCTTAATGCTGTAAAACAATGTAGAATCTTAATTTAATTTGTTCAGTATGTATGTTCAGTATGTTGAATTTATAGAATTGAAAAGCCAGTGTCAGGTCAATACTCTCTTTCTCTCACACAGACACACACACACGCACACACATACACACAGTGTCCATATTGTCCACACCATCGGTCTGTTGCGGTATCCCTGGTTCCCTGTGGTGTGTGCATGTCGAAGGCCCCGGTGTTATTGATCCTGATTGGGCCTCACAGGAGGAGATTCCGGCCTGCCATTGACCCACAGTTCTCCATGTTTCCACCCTTCTCTCAGATCATCAGAGGCAGCTGTCTCCTCCTGCCGGCCGGCCGGCCTGCTCGCGTGAGATTTCTGATTGTCAGATGGAAAAGGGGGAAAAGGGGGAAAAATGAACTTACTACAGGTTTTGCAAAATCACTAACAGGTCTTGCCTGAGTAGGCTGCACTGACGTTTTTCTGGCTTGGTGACTGTCAAAACATCCCCCCATGCGTTCATACTCTCCCTCCTCCTTCTAAGAAAGCCTGTGGCTCACAGGCTGCTCTCCTCTTCAAAGTAAAAGTTCTCTGCCATGCGGCCTGTGTTGAATTTTTGTGTTGACGACTGCCCAGTACTCATGAACTCCTCGTAGGGGTCCTTTTTCTCCTCATCGCTGCCTATGAAGCATTTGAAAAGCGTCATGGCAAGGAAGGAGTAGAAGCACATGACAAACAGGATGTAGAAGTAAGCATTGTCATAAGTCTCCCTAGAGCTGGAGACGGCGGATACTGGACTGGTGCTGGACAGAGGGCTTGCTGTGCTGCTGGACACAGTGGCGTTGATTTGGTGCCCACTGATGTCTATACCAGTGTCCTCCAGAATCCGCTGGCATCTGGAGAGTAGAGAGAGCAGGAGGGTCCGGTTCATGAGTTTCATATCAAAATGGGTAGAAAAGAGACTGAGCAGTAGATCTTGACGGAGGCAAAGAAATATCAAACAAAAATTGATAGAGAAAAAGGGACCAGAGCAACTGAGAGGACTACAGATGGAAAGTGTGAGAGGCAGGCACTCACCACTTTAGGAAAGGCACGCTGTGAGTCATCCACCCACTCTTCAAGGGACTTGATAAGGTGGTATTTCAGAGATAAAGCCCACTCCCTTTCAGCCCTATTGGATGCAGCCAAAATATCATGAAAGCACAACTATGAGTTCCTTTAGAGAATGATTTCTACAGACTTGTTGGTCATTTTGATCAGAAATGAATCTGAATCAGTCACACACTCTGAAATTGCAATTCTCCCAGGACATTCTGGCTCAAAGTATTTTCCAAACCTCCCTTTTAACTCTTTTTCCTATCTGAAACTTTTTTTTTTTCAGTCTGTCTTCTTTGTGCTTTCTTCCTTCACTTTCAATTTGGGGGCTTGGAAGCTGCAGAGACGCTTGGATTGTTGTCAGCTCCGGTCAAGTAGTCTACTCATTTCAAAGAGTGTTGGGGTCAGAGGTTAAGTTGTCTCCAGTGTGTTGCTGCTTGACTGACACTCCACTCCAAAGCAACCTCTTTGGCTTTTTCACTCATTGTGTCTTACAAGTTGAGCACTTGTAAAAAAAAAAAAAAAAAAATTAAAAAAAAGTTTGTTGAAAACAAAATAGTGAAATGTGATCCTGCCTTGATCTTATCATGTTGGACACACAAACTGAGCAGAGACATGCAAACAAATGTGCTAACACACAGATACATGCAAATAAAAATATATTTAAAACATATTAAAACACAAAAAATAAACACATTCAATGTATTTGCGTTGATGCTTACATGCTCACTTTAGACCGATACCATGAATGACATGGACAGCTGCATACCTGATCCCTAAACCTCCAGAAGAGAGAAAAAAAAATGACAGGGAGTGATAAAAATGCTCTGCTGATATCTGTAACCTTTTGAGGAGTCTGCCAACTGGGTGAACAGTGTTTTCATTTCTGTTTGGCAGTGAGAGCCAAAACCCCTCTGAACCCTGCACAGCCATGTCAGTGACTGATGTCCCAGTGTGTCTGTGGGCCGCTGTGCTTATATAATTTACAGCAGCTCTGCTTTAGTCATCAAGGGGTGTGAAGGAGCCCACAGGGAGCAGGAATTTGTCCAAAAGGAGTGTTTATGAAAGGGGATATATTTATGATTTAGTGCTCCAGCAGTGTGAATGAGGTGCACAGCTCGCAGACAGTAGGTATTGTCACTGTGCGAATGTTTGAAGTGGAAAGAAAGAAAGAAAGAAAGAAAGAAAGAAAGAAAGAAAGAAAGAAAGAAAGAAAGAAAGAAAGAAAGATCTTAAACTGCAACAAGACATCCCTCACTACTCTCAGAGAATCTGGCCAGAAATCAAAAAGAAGACCTCCTACTTTGTTAAATACTTTAATTGTTATTGCATTAACTTGGTTTCCAGTTCAATTCTACTTTCTGTAAATTTAATTTTGAAATGTCCAAAAGTCTTCTTCACACTGCTAGGAAAAGATAAATGCTGAGGGCGTCATTTCTTTATTATTGTGTAGCTTTAAATGTGTCAAATTTAAATATATGGAGTTTATAAAATAACCGTGTAGGTTTTTAATTGGGGAGTGTAAACTGAGGACATGACCTCAGTTGTTGGTCGCTGCAGCCCATAAATGACAACCACTGACTTGTGCATTTTTATATAGTTTATTATAAATAGTAAATAGTGCTGTACTGTACACAAAACTTCTTACAACAAAATCATTTTACGCCAATGTAAATGAAAATGATACAAAAGAAAAAACATGAATAATGAACATTGTGTAAGACTTACTTAAGCACTTAAGAGCACTTATACAAAACGTAAAGAGGAGATATAAAACTTGAACGTCACTAAATAAATAAGAAATGGAACTAATGTTTGCAAGTTCCTGATGAAAACTAATTGAACACATGCAAAAAAAAAAAAATTAACTGTCAAACTGAATGATGTATTCACTGGCAGCAAATTTTTTTTTTGGCTTAATGACATCACAACTACATTTGCTATTTTTCATCGCTTGATGATTTCCCCTGATTGATCAATGCACGCAACCCAAAGTTAATGACATTAAAAAGAGAGAGCATGTTTTTGAGGAAAGATTCCGGGACATTTGATCCGTGTTCATTTACATCACATGAGGTATGAATGTATTGCACTTTCTTTTGGTTGCAGTGGTTTTTCGCTGTGACTCCACGCGGCCTCGGTTCATGCCTTCCTGGTGGTTTTCCCGGTGTAGTCACATTTTTATCTCCAATGTCTTTTACAAGAATCACATCGATGTACAGCTGATATCATTACCCTAAGACATTGTGATGAAGAGATCCTTAGGAGAACATTGCGGCTGAGCACGAGACGTTATCACTAACCGGCCTTTTGATAACCATCAGCCATGAGAATCCACCCCTCCCCTATCAAGTTAGCCCCAGAAGCACAGGGGGCTTAAAAAAGTCCGCCTCAACTTGCATCTCTGCCACTTATTACAATAATCAAATACAGAATCTTGAATGTATTTACTCCCCTCTCCCCACCCCTCTTCTTTTCCTCTTTACAGACAACGAACCGTGCTTGGTCCTTGGAGCGTGACGTGACGCACGAGCACAAGCGAGTGCCAGGTAACAGGAGAGGCTGCGCCTTTGGTCCTAATTATTCCAGTCAACCCCCTCCATCGCCGTCACTACACCTCCATCTCAACCGGTTCCCTTCCTTGCTGAAGGAGAACACCTCAACCTCTTCACCCATCCAGCTCCTCTCTCTCTCTGCTCTCTCTCTCTCTCTCTCTGTCCTCGGGGCCTGGAAGGTTTGTCAGAGGCAGAGGGTTGGGGTGGGGGGTGGGAGTGGGGGGTGTTCTCTGGCGATGACTGTCAGACCGGCCGGGGGAAGCCTCCTGCTCAGGCCATGTTGGGGGCTTCATATAATGAAAGGCACCTGAGGAGAACAAGGAAAGACAGAGGAAGGGTTAAGGAGATTCCTTTTGCATTGTATTCAGTTAGAACTGCTTCAATCCTATAATGGTTAACATAGCAAAAGGTGTGAATTTTGAAGTTAAATCAGAGGTGTGACAGGAGGGAGGGGTGAGAGCAGGTGAGAATGGAAACTGGGGTCCAAGGTTAAATAATAAAACAGGTGAAGAGTTCGGGGAATTCTTTGAATTTAATGTGGTTGGCAAAACTAGCCTGAGCCTGAGCCTGGATCTCTGCTCGGCTCTGCTCCACTGATCAATAACAACTCTAAATCTGACCTCCAGTGGGACACATGGTTCTAATCCTGGTCTGCCAAAGGCCATAATCGCCCCCTGTTAAAGAGCCCCTTACCCTGCCTTTACACACACACACACACACACACACACACACACACACCCATATATGTCTACGCTCACAAATACACATAGACACACACACATTTCACCGAACCCCCAAAAGCTACATGTGGGTCTCTCTCAGGACCGGCTAAATTAATGACATCAAGATGTTGCCACTGATGGGCCAGTCAACATGTGGTAGTGTACCTCAGATCAGCCCCAACAACACGCCGCTCCGACCAATACACTCCCCTCCCTCCTGTCAAACACGCTTTGGGAAGTGGCTCCTTTCATTTGGGCGGCTATCTTTGTTGCATGGGTCATTACATGGCTAGGTGAGGGTTTGATGGGCAAGCTCATCATACGGGGTCATGAAAGGACAGTGAGTGAAAATGTGTGTGTTGGGATAAGATCCGGACATGCCTCTGCATCAGCCCACGTGGATAGTCTAGTGATGGTAATGTAAACTGAGGTAACCGGGCCACTAGTGCTCTTTAACATACATGTAATTTCAGCACAGCGCTGGGTGATTTGAGAAGCTCGCTCATCAGAGAGGTCGGCGCAATTAACATGGGTTGTGAGTCAGAAAATCTAAACTAAGTAGCTGAACCGGAGCAGGGGTTACAGAAGGACATAACCGCTAATCAATTATATATAATTTATGTTCAAATCTAGAAAATAAAGTCCTTAAACACCTCTAACTCTCTGACAGATCAGCATGAAAACAAATTATTTCCAGCGTACCTTGCTCTGACTGTACTGTCCATACTGGTAGGACGGATGGTGGTCCACGGCGTAGGCTTGGGAGGTGTAGGAAGGTGGGCAGTAAGATTGGGTGCTAGGCAGGGTGGGCATAGTGGGCAGGCCTGGTAGAGCCTCCAGGCGTTGGGAACCGTGACAGCTGGCAGCCATGCCTCCGTTAGGCTCTAAGCCTCCAGTCAGCGGAGAGAGGGCAAAGTCACTCTGGGACTGATGTGGCACTCCACCTGGGTTCAATAGGCCCATCACCTGAGGGGAGAAATGGAGGAAAAGTGGGTGATTAGAACTGAATTCAATTGAATATAAACACAAATCCAAAAAGGTGTTCTGGTTTTACCAAGAAATTCTAAATAAAATATACCATCAAGTAAACTTTTTAATGAAAAATACAAAGCCAATTTATTTTTCAAATCAGCTTCTCCATTCCACTCCACTCAGCTGGGCTGGAGTGGAGCCTCTCTCCTCGTTCATTGTCAGAAATAGAGATCATTCCTTTGCCCTCCTAGTGGTTTCTATTAAAGTTATCGTGTCATAATTTTGGAAGTAGATTAAAGAGGATATTTTTTTCTTTTATTTTTCATTTTAATTTTATTTCTCCATGTGATGACACTTGTTGTTTTTGTTATAACTGGAATGGATATAAAAGAAATAAATAATCTAAATCTGACTTTGGCTGCTCTTAATATGGGAATTAATTTCTGAGAATGTGATGAATTTGAAGCAGAACTTCAATTCATTTGTATGTGTTCTCTGATGTATTGATCTATTCAGAGCAATGCACTTTCTCTCATTCTCTCTCTCTCTCTCTCTCTCTCTCTCTCTCTCTCTCTCTCTCTTTCTAACCTTCTGTTGTTGCCCTAAAATCACAAATCACCGTGTCCTCCTGAGGCCAAGGTAAAGAGGCCAAAGGGTACGTGGGAATGAGGGGTAGGGTGTGTTTGTGTATGTGTCTGAGAGCTACCTATGTGTGGAATTGTGTATATAACAGTAGGTGTGTGTGTGTGTGTGTGTGTGTGTGTGTGTGTGTGTGTGTGTGTGTGTGTGTGTGTGGGGTAAGCATTTTTTGCTCTGATGTCAGGGGTGCAGGGGTATCGGTGATACATCGTGAACAGCTGCACATAAGTTTGCGTGAGAAGCAAAGTCATGAAAATGTCTAAAAAATGAAGTTAAGGAGAGTTACAGTCCGTGTAGGAGAACTAAAGCCAAACACCAAACCAAATACCCTTTAAAACAACAAAAATTACTTGGAAAGAAAAATAAACCGAAAAAACAAATAATAATAATACTAAGACAAAAGAATAAGTAACAAAGAGTGATGTAAAAACAAGACTTTCCCAACTGACAGCCAGCTGGCATACACACGCATGTTCACATTCTGATGTGTCTTTAATGTGTGCAATTTACAGCTGGTGTGTCAGAGTGATCTGACCCCACACATCTGACGAACACAGAGATGTGGCCTACCACTAAATCATTATTTCTCTTACTGCAGGGAATGTGCACACATGCTCCTGCACAAAGTCTTTTATTATAATAAATATATAAATTCAGTGACCAATAAACCTGCACAAGGCCTCAGAAGAAAAAAGGTTATCAATTAAATCATTAAATTATTTAATTTGTTAAGTTATTGTTCATAAATAGAAGTTTTCTAGTGGTTTCATACAAACATTTTCTGCTGTTTAGTCATATCTCCCCATGAAAATAAACATACTGTATGATTCTGTTTGTGTATGTGTTTGCATGTGTCTGTATCTCGAGCTACATGCTTATGTGTTCATGCACTTTCTGTCTGCAACTGAAACAGCAGCAGTTTCCGATGGTGTGTCTGTTTTGAGGTTGTTCCGGGGATTAGGTCTCAGGGGGGTGCAAATCCCGGCCGCTCGCTTCCTTGGTGAGAAAGGATTCCTTTGGTATGCACCAGATCAGCAGTGAGACGCCAGGGACCCTGCACCACAGGGAAACCACTGGCCTGACTGCTGTTTTAAAAAGCAGAGCTAACCGCTCAGACAAGAATATCACCTATCTAAAGTAAACCTTATCCGTATCAAAACTCCACGGTGCTCTAATTCTGACCATATCTGGAGTTAAATGAATCCCTGGATCTCCTGATGAACACAGAATAGTCGATACGGTAGCGTAGCTTTTATAGAGAAATTTAGAGTTCAGATGACCAGATAATTCTAGTCAGGATTTAACACAAAATAGACCAAACCGTTTCTATTGGAGAAAACTGAAGCTGTAAAGTTTTCTAGGAGCAAAGAGGTCTTCATGTATTAACTATCAATGTCATAGGATTTAATCAATTCTCATTTCCTCTCCCTTATTAAGTTAAAATCAGGAAATTAATTCTATCCTCATCTGAAATAGAGAAAACTGTATTGCAATATACATTCAAACAGCTGCAATGAATATATGAATTAAAACAAATTAGCCAACAAAGTGAGTCATTTGCATAAATTACACACTTTGTTACAAGAGGATAGATTACTTCATTCCAATCAATTAAGACACTGGAACGTTCTGTGATTGCAATTCCAGACTGAGAAAACATTCCAGGCACGCCGTCCCTATGCAAGATGAGATGTCCATTCTGTATGGAGCTGCCCAACTAAGGTTAATGCTGAAACCATCCACGAGGCCACAGCACCTTTGGCCTCTTTATTGGAGTTAAAGTCACTCGTCGACCCTGTGGGTGTGTGAACCACAGCCATGCGCTCAGTTACAGGATGGCAGCTACCAGCAGGTTTGCATCCAGTTATGCTTCAACAGAGTGTCTAACTGAAGTACAATTTACGAGTGAGCGCAGTTGGCTGAGATTAAAACCATCGACCACTGATGCTTGTAGCTCACCGCATGTCATCTTCACTCTCCCTGTCTCTCTATACTTTTATCTGTCCAATGAAAATACAAATCCACAAACAATAATGTTTGAAAAGTAAATATGGCGAGTTGTTGAGGAGCAAAAAACAAATTGTAGTCAGTCACTAGTGTTCATGTATCAAAGCAGTCAATTATACCTTCAGCCACAATGGTGCCACCTTCTACTTTCTGACCATGCACCCTGGCAGCCACAACAAAGCTCCTCTCTTTTTTTCAATATATATACATCCTCAGGCATTTGCAAAGTAACAAACCTGCCTGAGGCAGTTTTTTTATCTGTGCCTGACAGGAGTCTGAGATTCTCTCTCATGGGAATTAGTACCCAGCATGCATTGCATGTGGGCTGGCCACCCTTTGTGGCGGTTAAAAGCTCGTTTTACGCCTGTTAGTCCATCTTCTGGACTGGTAGGGAGCCACTGATGGACACTGATGACTGTGTAATCGACCATAATTGTCTTTTCAGTTTTGATTTGTGTCATCATCCGACATCCATACATCCGTCCTCATGTTTGGTCCTTTTAGTGTCCCCAAAGACTGACGTTTGCCACATTTCAAATTCATCAAACAACCCATCAGAATAAACAAAAATGAAAAGCTACCGTGTTTTCTAGCTTAACAAGATTTCATCAATGTCACTGCAATGACACTACGTAGGTCACACAGAGGAGAGAGTGTGTTTGCGTGTGTCCTTATGGTACATTTCACAACCAGCATGAAGAACTACAGGCCTCTTGCTTCCTGGTATTATGTGTGTTGTGTGTGTTCATTTGAGACTGAATTTATTTGTACACATGTATACGTACATGATTTCAGAAGAGTTGCTTGTTTCTACATGTATATCTGTGATAGATGTATAGACGAACCTGCGGTGAGAGGCTGTTGCTGATGGCGGGGTTGACAGCGTTGGTGTGTGCTGTCTGGGCCACAAAGCTGTCCGAGTATCCTGAGAAACCATGACGTCCAGAGGATAGGCAATACGCGGAGCTTCCATCCTGGGAGCCTGCTGATGAGCTGAGCCCACTCTGGTGCACGGAGGTTGGGGGCAGCGGCTGCGGTCGGTGGACTGTACTGGGCTGCTCGGACGCTGTTGAGAATCAGACATTTCTACTTAAAATCACACGTTGCTAAATCTACACGAACTTTGATGCTGCTGCTCTGAGACAATTTCGGATTTTGCAGTTATCAAACTGAAAAAATATGACTGAAATACTTCTATTTTAAAAGAATAAAAGATTCGGCTGCAATCAATTGGACCCACCTTGGGCTATGGAAGTGGGAGGGTAGGGACTGTCGGACAGCTGGTAGGGCTGCAGGCCCGACATAGCTGATGGAGGGAAACCACCGGGGATGAGGTGGTTAAAAGCCATCAGCTGATTGGCTCCGGCTTGCTTCCTCCACCGGGCTCTTCTGTTGCTGAACCACACCTGAGAGGAGAACAGAGTGTTTAATTTTTTTTATTTATCTAACCCAGTAGAATAATGTTACTTATCCAGTGCTTATATCTGTATTTGTGAGTGTGCTTGGTGCATGTGAATGTGAATGTATATGTATGTGTGTGTGTGTGTGTGTGTGTGTGTGTATGAGGCCCCTCTGACCTATTACAGGGAGCTGAACTGATAGAGATCTTAACATCTGGAGCGTGCAGTGAAACCACAGACATTACATCTTTGTGTGCTACTGCAAGTCACTGGGTTCAGATAACGCCAGAGGGCTGTTACAGCTGTTAAAGCCTATATTAGCACACTATCTAAATCAGTCATCTATTTTAAGACCTTTTTGCAGAGTCTGACAAAAATAAAAAGCTGTCTTCATAAACAGTGGGTGCAGTGTATCTGTGTTTGTATCTATACAGTGGGTTGTTTGGGAAGAGGAGGGGGGGGGGGGGGGGTCATGTCTTATGGCTGTAAGGAATGTGTAGCAACATCCCCAGGCAATTTAACGCCCACATGACACACATCCATGACAGGCCGACACACTGCTCTGGTGCGGGACTTTGAGGTCGAGGTGAGCGTCTGTGCGTGTCTCTAACCTGAACTCGAGCCTCTGTCAGTTTGGCCCGCTGAGCCAGCTCCTCTCGCGTGTAGATGTCAGGGTAGTGTGTGCGTTCGAAGGCCCTCTCCAGCTCTTCCAGCTGCTCCGCTGTGAAGGTGGTCCGACTACGGCGCTGCTTCCTCTTCAGCGGCAGGCCTGGCTCCGAGTCCACGTCGGAGCCCTCGTCTGAGTGACTGGCTGAAATCGCAAAAAGAGACAGACTGTTACTTCAACATGACACAGAATGAAACTAAGTTGCACTACAATAGCCAAACCCGAGACAATAGATTATGCTGAGTACAACACATGGTACAGAGCCACCTTAGATTGTGTCCTCCTGCTCCCTTAAAGTCCTCAGTGGTTCCTAAGGGGATCAAAAGCCAGAAGCTGCTTGAACATGGATTAAAGAGGGCTAGATCCCTCTGGGGCATCTATTTCCCTGGGACACTGTGTCTCTCCCAGTCTTAGCCATGCTGTGCACTATGCCAATAGGGTCCCATAGTGAAGAGCAGGCAGCCTTTTGCAGGTGCTTCTTAATCTGTTTGTTCAGTTGAGGGTAGAAGAGAGCGACTGGGTAACTGGGAGACAGCTATTGGGATCTAATTCAGCAGAAGAAGGAAATCAATGAGGGCTTGAGACTAGAAACAGAGGACTATTGCTGCATTTCAGGGGGAGGTTACCCATCTATTAAATAATGATTAGGCTCCACAAACTAGCGTGACAGCCTGCTATTGTCCGCCATTACATGTCTGCAATCCCCCCATCTCTTTCTCAGTCATACACACACACTCACAAACATGCATCTGCTGCGTCTGGGCTGTGGGCTTTCACTCAATAAAAGTAGTCTATGACAATGTGTCAAACACAGATGGACACAAGACAGAAAGAGTTGGAATCCACTCCCAAATCCACCCCAGAGGGACCTCTTAGACCTCATGAGGAGGGTTCACTGCACCTTTTCGACACTCTATCGACTATGTGGCAAACACCTAAGCTGAGGGAGAAGAAATGAGGGAGTCAAAAGCAGAGAGACAGGTGTAAGCAAAAGAAAGGCTTCAGCAGAGGACAGAGGCCTGTCTGTTTCCCCAGACTGCTCATTCTCCCTTTGCCCTCCAGATTTAAAGCTTTAATTAAAAAGTGCCAAGTCAGACATGGAGGGGGGTAGCAGGGATCTCCCCTTGCCTCTGGAGCCTCTGGAGCCAAGCAGGAAATGTTTGTGCCGGTTGCCAGTGTGTGTTTGACCAGGCATTACACACGGATTTGGTTCCTGGGAATGCTGCTGCGCTCCGGACCGCCGGCACACAAGATTCTGATGCTGAGAAGACCTCTTTATTACAGTTGAACTAAGGGTGCCACGCTGGCATAAAGGCTCAAAGGGGATTGGCTGGATGCTTATATACTCCTGGAACGTGCACTATGAGTTTGGGATGTGGTTTGTTTAGGTAAGGATGTGGCCCGAGACCAGTTGGAGCAAATTTTATAATACAACAGACGTAAGGAGAGGGCCACACAGCATGAAAATCAAACCTGATATTTTTCCTATAAACAAATTTCTAATATTGTTTGGATTAGTAAGTGCAACTTGAATTAATCAGCACATACGCAACACTACAGGACGAGACTTGGAGAAACAGCGAGCTAAGTAACATGTGGTGTCATTACCATTTTAATGATGGAGGAACAGAGGGAGAAAGAAAAAGACAGCGAACCAATGACGGCGCAGAAACGAAAAGATTCTTGAGGGAGGGAAAGAGAGCTCATAAAACTCCTCAGAGGAGAAAGCTCCCCATTGGCACAGTAGCTCATGTTAACTGCAGAGTGGGGGTGGATCTGTCCTCCTTTGCCCCCTTTATTTCTGTCTTTCCCTCCCTTTTTTCCCCTCCCTGTTTTTATTATTAGTAACTACAGAGAAAACACTCCATCACTCCGTCACAGACTCTCCCTTAATGGCAAATGACAGTGTTGCTTTTGTCATCCTCTGGCTTGCGTTTTCTCTTTTGCGCTCTTCCTCTCTCACTCTCTGTTGTTTTGTTTTGTTTTTTTTTTAAGAAATGATGTGGCCAAGCCTTTGTATCTTAGCAGGGAAAAGCCTGTGGCAGGGCTCTATTGGACCGATTACCACGCTCCATCTGTAGGAGCCATCAGGGACGCCCGGGCCCGCATTCAGGGGCCTGTCACCTGCCCAGCAGGGGAGTGAGGGGGGGAGCTGTAGGGCGAGAAGGGGGCTGTAGGGCCAGGGGATGAGTGGGGGAATGAAGGGTGGGGGGAGGGAGAAGGGGGGGCACAAAGGGGTCCAGAGAAGGGCTACTGGGGGCTGTGGAGGGGCACAGCAGGGGATCACCCCCTCATCCCCTCCCTCCGTGGCCTGAGGGGCACAAAGTTGGGGGGATGGGGGAGTTGGAGGGGTTGACATGGAGAGGAGATGGGAGGCTGAAGGCACCTGAAGAAGATGCTGGGGAACGGGTGTGGGGTGCCAAGCGAAGGAGAATGGGGGGGGTGCTGGTCATTCTTAAAAGTGGGACCTGTCCCTTCCATCTCATGCACTCACTTCTCCTCTCTGTCTCTCTGTGCTCACCCGTCGCTGCGTCCACATCTTTTGACGTTTTCAAACGAGGCCCTTACGCTGCTGCGGATCACTTTTAAGGCACGCTGGTGCAGAAGCAAGCTTGTTCCCACACATTCCCCACAACAAACGGCAGAAGAGGATACTAAACACACAAAGGGAGGCCTCGACCTCCTTACTTAAACACCCAAATCAAATTTTACGCTGCAGCTAAAGCACTAGGGAGCTGAAACTAGTCCATAGCCACTCACAGTTTGGCTGTGGCTCTGACAAGAATCTTAATAGAAAGATAGATTATTATCCCTCAAGCGGAAATTGGGGCTGCTGCAGAATTATCCATAAAACAGAAATTTGAAAACAAAGTAAGCTGTAGGTTAATAAACTAATAACAAGCTAGTTTTGATTGTAGAATGGATAGAGGAACATTTATTTACCATAGTTTAGCAGATAGCGGAGAATTCAACAAGTGAATTCAACAGGTTCCTTTCACTGTTCGGAGACGCTTAATTATATTCAACAAGTGTATTTACAGGTGTGTATGTGCCTGCACGTGCAAACAGTACACACACTCAGGAAGAAACGGATAGGGCTGCAGACCCGTCACTCAAGGTAAACTGAACCATTTATCGATCAAGAGAGGAGACTGACAGGCAGGGAAGATAAACTCCGTAGGGTCACAGATGTGAACTTGGGGAACGTCCAGTTCCATTAGCTTCACCTGCAGCAGCAGTGCCTCAAACAGGCCAAAAAAACCAAGTGAGGATTCCAACTGCACGAATAAAGACTGCTCTTGTTTACTGCGTAGACTACATTGGCCAGGAATTGCCTTGCCAAGCTTTCCCCCCCCCCCCACCCGCTCAAGAGATGTTAATATGAAGAGACATGCACAGGCGCACACATCCATTTATGTGTACACGTGTGCAGAGAAATTCACACAGGCAGCTTAAAATAGCAAAATTAAAAAAATGAACAAGGCGGGAAGAGTGGCAAAAGTGTTATCTTATCTTATAATCAAAATTGATTTTAAAGGAAATGGAAGAAGCAGGAAAAAGAATGAAAGGAAGGGAGAGGGATGAAGAGCCACAGTGAGAAAGAGAAAGAGAAGTGGAGCATATGGGGCAGTTTATAGTCTTGTCCTGGTAGGGGCTGGCTAGCCCTTCCTCCAGGGGCTGTTAATAGAGAAGGTAATTGAGCTGGTGACATGTGTTCGCAACACAAAACAAAGGGCAGAAGAGACAAATGAACTAGTTATTTGCCCAGGGAAGTAGATCTGGCCCTTTCAGGCCACAGAGCATAGTGCGAGTGGGCCACTGAATAAAATAGTGGCATGCCACATAGAGCCAGAGCGAGCAGATGCACTGGAGGAAAAGAATAGTTAACTGACAGCTTATGGGCTCAGCTGGGGTTAACAGTTAAGGGAAAAAATGGGAGTGAGTGGGCTGCTCACTTGACTTGCTAAAAAGCCCCCAGGAACCCGCAGCTGCCTGGGAAAGAAGGGGGGGGGGGCAGATAGAGAGAAAGAGAGAGAAGAGAGGGAGATGATGATGTGCTGGACAGAAAAAAAATGGAGTGAATAAGCGCAGGAGGTTGGCATTTAACGGACAAAGAACTAGCTGGCGATATGACGCTGAAAGATGTATCTCTGTCTAATATTGGTGAAGTGACAAAAAGCCACAAATGGCCCTGCACTGGCTATTATGTGTGCCCAGTGTGTGGTGGTTATTATTTAGTTCCACTGTGGTGCAGTTAGGTGACAGTTTCACGGTGGCATTTCCACCCTCGGGGCAGGGACAAAGCAACTGCACGGAACCCACGCGGGGCTGCAGCAACAGGCCAGTCTGCCGCACGTTCCAGTTAAACGGAGACTAACCAGCAGAGATCCACCTCAGTCCAGCTCTGTTATGAGCAGACAGACAACCAAGCCAATCACCTCATTCGGGATAACAAGGGAAACTCTTTTTCAAATAACAGCAAAACCCTCTGGAAGTCTGCGCACCGTAAAAAGAAAAGTTCACATATAATCAACATTGGCTGCTTTGTGAGACATCCTGATGTTAAGGAGTCTGTCAGTTCTCATCTTTTCTCAAACATTATCATAACCTCCTTTTCCTGGGGCCTGATAGTTTTAACAGTCAAGTGACCCTAGGTTAGCCCCTGACCTTTTCACAGCTACTGCACAGCGCTGCTGCGGTGAAGACAGCCTCAACGCTGACACCCCCCACCCCCCCCAGCAAAACTTCACAGACACTCAACAGAGAGAGAAACCATCATCACATTCCATGCTTTCTTTTCTTTCTTTTTTTTTTACCCTACAAACACTTAATTGCTGTATTTCTTTTGGTTTTATGAGCTCTGCGCACACATTTTCAACTATTGCAGCATCAATGCTTGTATTTGGGCAAATGTAGGAAATAAATCGTGTAACTTTGCACACATTTGAAAAGAATGTTTTTAGTAGATTTCTCTGTTCAAGGAAGGAAAAGAGACATTAATTAAAACAGCAACAGAGTTGTTCTGGCGTGTCCATAATGTGCAATGTGCTGGATGAAACAGCTCCACAAAAACTGAGGCTAAACAAAGTTAAGTGATTGACAACGCTGTCTGGCTTTACTCAATTAACTATCCCATTGTGCTCCTCTTTGCAGAGTCCCCTCGCCCCCGACCCTTTTCTCTTCTCACTCCTTTATCCTCCCCATCACAGAGTTTTGCTTGGCTAATACTTCCAAGGAAATAGAGAGCTCTTTTTCTACTGGGGCTCCTCTCCTTGACCTTCCATTGCTCACTGCTTCTCTTTCAGTCACTTCACAGTGTCTCTGGGGTTAGTGGGGAGAATGTGGAGAGTACATCAGCGCCGAGGGGCCGGCTCAGGGCAGGACCTCAGCCCATTACTTCAAAGTTGGCCTGCATTCATTAATTGTCCTTTGAATTAATATTGGAGGATCACAATGTGGGTGCCAACAGAGAAAGAGGCTTTAATGAAGCATAGAGTCTGCATTCAGTTGCAGATCAGCTTGTGTGGATTTTTTCTTTCTTTTTTGGAGAAAGAGGGAGCCTCGAGAGTCATGCCAACACAGAACGTAAAAGTATTGAGTATTTATATTTGAGAAGAGGGAGAGAAGATCTATCTATCTATCTCTCTCTCTAGAGTGCAGAAATATATTGTGAGTTCTGGTTTGTTTTCCCTAGCAGTCCACTGGGCTAAACTAGCATTATAAACACTATTAACACAGGAAAACACAGCATGAGGCCCAAATATAAATTTCTTTCATTATCCCAGCCCTGAGAGGAAAATGGAAATGTGGCTGTAACAGACATTCCTCTGGTTGCATTGAGGCCTTCTGTCTCCTGTGACCAGCACGGAGACGGTCTCCTCTAACCCTCCAATTTTTAACTCATTCACCGTGGAAATGCAGGGACCCCTAACAAACACACAGGGTTCAGGAAAATCAGCGTCTATCTCTCTGTTTACAGCTGTGGGTTATTGCCACGCTGCTCAAGTTGCTTTTGCTCCCCCGTGTGTGAGAGAAAGAAAGGTATCTGTTTATATTCATAGATAGTCTCATGAGAGTAAAAAGTTATGAAACTTTCAAATTGGATTAGATGGCTTGGATGTGGCAGCTACATGTGGTGAATGTATATTACATGCACCTTTTGACTGCTTTAAAATGTGGTACACTCCACACAAAAAAAAAAAAAAAAAAAAAAAAAAAAAAAAAAGCGCAAATATGATCTTTCTGGTCTCCTTACGCTCTAAATATTCCTCTCTCTAGATCCATGCCAAAGTCACAGGGAGCCACTCACCCAGTTTATTTACACAAACAAAGTCCTACTCAGCTCCTTTGACAAAAGCAGCTAAATCTTTCATGTTTTGTCAGCACTTGATTCCTCCTGTCCCTCTGGCTATTTGCCTGCCTGTGGACAATAGAAGCAGGAGAATGGCAGCAGATTGTTGGAATGCACCTCAATGAAACCAATTATTACATGTTGACTGCGTTCACCATGGCAGATTTGAAAGAACTGGGCTCATTCAATTTGGCACCGCAGGATTCCCTTTAAAGAAAAGTTATCCCTTTGACTGTTTGTATTTCTGAGCTTTTCTTTTTCTTCTGCTTCTCTCTCTCCCCGTCACCCCCACTGCCATAAATTGATCCTGCAAGAGTGGCTACTCCTCTTTCATGACTTTGGTTGCTTTAATTAGTTAAATGAGGCTAAAGTGCTAACAGTAATAAATAGAGGAAAGGATGCTATCAATTAATTCACTCTCACTCATGGCAAAAACAAATTCTTGGCATCGTCGGATTATTCAGTCTTCTGTTTAAAATTATATACCACACAGAGTTGGACACACTCACTGCTTTATGAACAAATGTGATAAATGGCACAAACAATTCTTTCAAACATATCTCAAACTGCAGCACAGCTATGCATGTTGTTTAAATTCAGTCCACATAACTCAATAGTTAAAGGAGATGTAAACAACTTAGCATTAGATTCATCCCAGCAAACATCCTTTTTTTTTTTTCCCCCGCAAAGTCCCAGCCGCTTGCTAATGCCATGCAGACCTGGGGCTGCCCGGTATACTTTATCCCACAAACCTTAGCAGTCCTTTTCCCAGACAAATAAATCTAAATGAGTCAGCTTTGATCTTCGCACTTAAGGAAAGCCAACAATAGTGGTAGAGGAGAAAGGGGCAGAGAGCAACAGGCCTCTCTCCGCCACAACAATAGCCTCTGCAAACACCTACTTAATCAATATTTGGCCAGAAGACACTCTCCCAGTCCCCAAACCACCCTTTTCACATTCTAATGAAGTGCTATAAAAGAGAAAAACAACAACTACTTCCACAAAGAGACACAAGAATGAAATAGTGCTCTTCTGTATATCAATGGGGGAAAGTGTCTTTCTCTAGATCTGTTTGCATGTAGGATGTCACCTATTTGATGTAAAATAGCTAATGTTATTTGTTTTCTTTCAAATAAATAATAATAATACCAACCTAAAAGTATTAATTAAAGATACATCAAAAATTTATTTTCATAATTTCTTCCTCATATAATTTCTTAGTTGCATCAAACACACTCCTTTAAGTTCAAACAAAAATGTTTTCAAAGGTGCATCTTAAAATTAATTTAACAAGCAGGGATGCATCCTAATTTATTGATCAATCAGATTATTTCCAATTTTAATAGTCTATTCTGCGTTAAAATGATTTATCTATTGATTTTAGTGCAGAAATGAGTTTTGGAAGGTAGAAAAGTCAACACTGTCTGATCAGTATTGGGGATGTGTCTCGCCTGGGAGAGGGAGAGGGAAGTGCCCACAGATATTGCATGAATGTGTGCGCCCTAGGCGGAAAGGAAAGGGGCGGACTTTGTCTGAGATGAAAGTGGAGAGAAATAAAAGGTTTGGATTTAATCTAGTGGAGAGAAGGCTTTCCCTGCGCTCACTGGCTGAAGGCGTCATGCTCGCTGCGCAAAGACTGTGACAAAAGCTCCGTGCGCAAAAGTAACGGCACCGTTCAATTTGATTAGGCAAAGGCCTGACGTGAATTTAACACATTTCAGGCAAAAATCACGAGCCTTCTTGCAGCTGCCAGATGTGTTAACTTGATGTTTATTTTATTTCTCTGTAGGCCTAAAGTTTTCACCTCTTAAAACCGAACAGCGGACTGAAATCCAAACAAAACCACAAGAATGAAAATACGAAATAAACCTGTGCGTCATTACGTGACATCGCCTAAACACCACAACTGTTTTCTAGAGGTCTTTTCATCAATAATTAACTATAGACCGCATTGTGTCTCCAACAGCAACTTTCCATTTTTGCGGCAACACTCTTCAGCCCCCAGTAGGTCATAAATCAACAGGTGTTTGCCTAAAGTCTGAGCAGTTTTTCCCCTATTTTTTTTTCTGAATACAAACTGTAAACAGTGGGAAAAGCCCCCAGATTGGCACTTTTTTGAGCATTCTATAAACCAGGTCGCTCTGGGCCTATTGGTGTCCCTGAATAATTCATCGCTCATTGCGGGTTCATAATGTCTTCTCCCGGCCTTTTGTCAGCACAGTTTTTTCTCCCTTTCTTTCCCTATTTTGAAAGGCCCTGGCGTCTTTTTGTACACCACTGAGCCGCTCACTGGAGTTTGGCTTTTGTGCGCGTCAAACTGAGGTGTGAGTCTCAATGGACTCTCCCTGCTTTGTCCCCTGAAGTTCATCCTCAAGTGTCCGATTGAGTGTAAAAAAAAAAAAAAAAAAAAAAAAAAAAAAAGTTTCTCAGGCTTGGAAGTTAGACAAATGTTTGATTATCCACTTAATTTTTTTCTCTACATTTGTTAAATCTCAGAAGCCTGAGCGCCTGTAAACACCTGACGCTTTAATGTATTTAATTCTGTGCAGGTTAACTCGATCAATCTTGTAGCCTATTATTAATGCGATAACAAAATGTTATACAAGCGCAGACACATTAATTAATTATTATTATTATTATTTTTATTATTATCATTATTATTATTGCTTGGTCGTCGACTAAACACCTGACAAGTGCAGACAACAAAACTAAAACCTCTATCCACAATGAACCCAGAAATAAAACATGTCATTCACAACCTGGATATTCACACAGCCAGGTCAAATCATAAATGTTGCACTTACATCTGTCTCCCAGAATGCCATCGATGCTGTGTTTTGTCCGCGGTTCGTTTTCCTCCATCTCCCTCTTCACCACTTCATCATCATCTTCTTCATCCTCACCAGGTCCGCCGAACTTCGAGCGCATGATGCGACTGATGGCGCTCACTGAGACAGAAGTTTGGATACATAGAAAATGCATGAGTACTTTTTTTTTTAAAATATAAATTAAACAAATAAAAAAAATATAATAAAAAAATGCAATCATGTCCGAACAGAAGATTGGTATGTCCACAAATAAGAGGGAGCGTTTTCATACTGTGCATATTTCGTCTAAATATAGGCCTATTAATATGGTATTAAAGGTATTAAATATGGTATTTTTTCACACACATATATATATATATATATATATATATATATATATATATACACATATGAGCCAATCATTTTCACATCCTTCCTGGTGATATTTCAAACTTTTTACCAACCTGAGGGGACGTTGTTCCTGTCGCAGATCCCATCTTTCAGTAACTTGTCCCTGATTTCCCAGCTGAACATGCTCGGGTTTTCTGTCTTGTACTCCTCGATTTTCTTGTCCACCTCTGGAGTAGCGGTTTGCTTTGGTGGGAGGAAGGAGAGAAGAAGAGTTTCCACGTCATTTTTTTTTTTTTTTTACATTAGGCGAGACAGAAAAGTTGAGTTATCTGTTGGTTTTAAGATTTAGAGTGGCTATACAAATGCAACACTATCATTCAGAAAGTTATTGGGCCACAGAGAGCATATAAAGTCCAGCCCCATCAACTTTTATTAACTTTTGCATTTTAAATGTCCTAAAGGCTTTTCCAGAGGTCCCGTTGAACTACATGACTTTTAGTTTAGTTTTTATTAACGATCACAAGCTCATAGATTATTTATCCTGAGTGTTTCACAGCCGAACAGAAAATGTTATAGCCTCTTAAATAAAAATCTCCCACTTTGTAGCGCGTGTGTTGCCGGACAGGAAATTTTATATCAACTTTCTGAAAACATTGCTCGGTGTAAAAGGAACTTTTTCTCATTTTCCTTCACATTTTATCCACAATTTACCAAAACATCTCCGGCCGCCTCTCTCACCTTTGGCTTGCTGCCTCCGATGGCCCCCGGCCTGATGGAGCCTGTCTCCTGGTACCGGCAGAGGATTTTGGAGACGCAGCCGTGGGACACCCGCAGCTGCCGGGAGATGACACACGGCCGGATACCGTGATGGGCCATCTCCACGATTTTATGGCGGATGTGGTTGGGGAGAGGTCTGCCGTTTATGAAGACACCACCGAGCTGGTTAACCCGACCCTGTCCTAACGGAGTGGAGACTGAGCAGCAGCACAGGACATGTAGTTAGTTGAATAACTTGGAGAGCACATCACGAGTCTTGTCTTTGTTTTATATAGGCCTATTATGATTTCTTTAGTGAGAAGCAAAAAAAGCTGTCAGGAGCAGCGGAACTTTTAAAGTGCAATCAAATATGAAAAATCTAAGTCTTTGTCTTTTACATTTTACATAATCTTACTATTATCAGCTACAAGGCTATAAATTCAGATTTGAAATAAATCTGAACTGTCCTAAGAGAAGTAAAATTTCTGGTCGTGGTATGAAAAGGCAAAAATAACCTTCTGTAGGAAAAAAAATCTGAAAATTTGAAATAGGTCTATCAAAAATATAAAATGTGACACGTTACCACATAAAGAATATGTATAAAAACAATAGCTTAAATAAAGAAAATTAAAATGTAAAAAGCTCGTCGTGTTGACAGTGGAAAAATGGACTTAACCCTGCAGCTTTAGTCTATAAACTGACATTTTAAACTTCGTTTCTAATAATATTCAGTTCTAATAATATTTTTGATCGAGCTTGACAACTAAGCTGAAGTTTCCTAAAAGTTCGATTTTTCCTGGAAGTGTAAAGCAGCAACTGGTGGCGGTGTCTTACCTTCCAGAGAGTATCCACCCCGCGGGTAGTTCTGGTGAGGAGTTGGTCTCATCATTCTCGGTAAACCTCCAGCGAGCGCTGTCATGATTCCTGACTTTCTGTCAGGTGACACTGGAAATGAAGCTGCCGCCGCTGCTCGTCGCTTTTAATCCAAGAAGGAAAAAAAAAAAACCTTTTGTAGGTTGCAATATTTCGCCTTCTCTACAGACGCGAAGCAGCCTCCGGTTCCTCGAGTAACAGGTTGAGAAGGAAAGTGAATCCCCTCAGAGATGGAGCTGGCTCGTATCCGCTGCTCGATGTGAGCTGAGGTGAGAGTTGGAACTATAATGCAGGTTGCTAACAGTCCTGCGAGGATTGGGAGGATGGTTTGAGAGGATGGATGGAAGTCAAACATTTTATCTGTGCTCTCTGTCCCCTCTGACTCCGCGCTGCGCCTCCTGATTGGCCAAAGACCCGGACGTTCAAAGACCGGAGGAGCTTTGTGATTGGACAGCAGGAGCTCTCCTTCTGTCGGGATTGACCTCACGAGGTCAGCTTGTTGTGTCACAAGCTTCAAACTTTTGACAAAGTGCACAACTTTTGATAAAACCTATCAAATAAACACCTGGCTGAAGATGTGTCTGATTTCTGCCTGTTTTCCTGCCTCTGCTGGGATTTGTAGATCATGCTCCTCGTCGTTCACAGTCAGGACACAGCTGAGCTTCTACAGCAGGAGAGAGTTTACTGATGCACGAAAACTGAACCAGTAAAGAGAATCGTACAGGTTGATTTTATGAAGCAGACTCCCAAATATTACGAACTATTAAAACCACCGAGTGTAGCTTGTTTCCCCGCGAGCTTCTATTACTCAATAAATAAGTTGGCTAAAAGTAAAAAAGTTGTCAGTGAGTATTTATACACTGCAACTTCTAAGGTACACATACACACACACACACACACACAAACACACACTAACACAAACACACACACACACACACACACACACACCTGAATTCTTGTTAATGAAATAATTATGGCCTATTGACATTAACATCAGCACACTAAACATAATAGGCCTAGTATATTATTATTATTATTATTAACTATAATATGACATTGAATGGCACAAGTGAAAAATATAAAATATTTTTTCGCATCGACATTTTGGGGGACAGAGATAGAATAAATGTGCATTACTTTTACATTATTAACGCGTGGTGCAGCCCAGGTGCTCATTTTGGTGCACAAAGCACGTGCGAGAAAATTTAACATCGACTTATTCCATGAAACGGGGCAAAAGACAAAAGACTGCAACAGGTGAGACTATTACAAAGATCACATTTGATTATTCTACAGGGCCCATATTCACCGTGTCATGGAATAAAGTGTGGCATTGTGAAGTTCTTCTTCTTTTCATCATCATTATTATTATTATTAATAATTCCTACCCCAATTCTTGTTATTGCAGCAGTTGTAATATTTGAGTGTATTAGCCTATAGCCTAGGCCACTGTATAAAGTTTGTAGTGTTGTAAAGGCTCTACTAATGGCATGGTATTTGACGGTAACTGTTTCATTTTTTTCTGATGCTTTTTCATTAGAATTTCTTTATACTTTAGACTGAAAAGTAAACTTGGGCAGTGAAAACGTTACTCAGCCGCCGTATTTGCCCATGAATCACCAAAAGCATAAATGAAAATGTAGACTGTTAAACTTCAGGGGAAGATCTTCTCTGCAGCAGACAGTGCTCTGCAGACAGTGGAGGTCAGGAGAAGACTCTGGTGGAGAGGAGGATCTTTTTTTTTTTCCGTCCACGAGTTCCACCACACTACGCGAAAAAGGCTCTGCATGCTCATCTAATATAATAGTTGCACTAATTTAACAATAGGTGGTGCGCGGACCCGTGGTTGAGCCACACGGCAGTGTAACACATCCGTGCAAATGGTCGATTATAGACACATAGAAGCACATGATGGATCATTTGACTTTCCTGAAGCTTGTCGAGTTTTGATAATTATGATAATCAGGCGTGTTTAATAGACCGATACATTTTTTTCTTTTCCCTCAGGAACAAGACCAGGCTCTATATTTATAGTGGCTGATTCTGTTAGAGGCCTCTTCAACCTGCATTCCGTGAATGACTGGTTGGTCATGACCTTTAGAAGACAAACTGAGGCATCATCAGAGCTGACCTTCTGGCAGATAATTAGTACCTGATCACCATTAGATTTGTCAGTACTTGGTGCATTATTGTCTAAACATATCAACGATAAAGAAAAGATGGTCACATGGAGATGTATGAAGAAACCTTCCATGTGAAAATATGAATAAGCAAAGCCAGCTGTTTCTGTGGTGCTACTGATCAGACAGATTTGTATTTGCAAAAAAAAAAAAAAGAGAAGAAAAACACACTGGATATTGAAGGAGGATGCAAAATGACCATTTTTCATCTTTGTTTTACTATAAAACATCTCAACTTTATAGCAGCAGTCATTTTTCTGTCTCTTTCATTACAGTATCCCACAGCATGTGGGCTAGTATATTTTTTATTCCTTGTATAAGACAGAGCAGTGGACAGAGAACATGTGGAAACATTATATGTCCATAAAAGAAGGAGTGGAGGGAGTGGGGGGTGGGCGGTGGGGGGTTATCACACTAAAGTTTGACTATCATGAAAAGGATATTGGATCTACCATGTCAAATCAATTAGAGAGGTAAGCTGAGTCAGAAATGTGCTGTGGTGGTGGACAAAATGCATCAAAAATAAGGAACAAAATGGCCTCAAAAAGAAAGCGCGTTGCATTTACCAGGCATACGCACAGAATAAGCCAGGGGCTTTTGAAGCTATATTTCTGAAACCGTACACATTAAATAAACACAATGATTTGCTCTGCCTCCACTAAAGATAAAGTTAGTCTAATAGCCTAATAACCCACAGGCAGTTTTGATCTTGGCTGTGGCCCTATAGCGATATGCTGTGTCAGACTGAGGCTTATTTAGACTACTGGAAAAATCTCCAGTCCCTGCAGAGCGACTTCCAATACTGCTCAGTATTCACGATTAGCACGACGACACAAGATCAAATATAGACATTTAAAGGTAATCAAATCATCACAGTGATTATCTGACCCTAAGCTATAGGTAGTCAACTGCTGAACTAACAAGCTTCAACTCATTCTCAAAATTAAAATAGTCAGTCATGCATTTCTTCTTCTGTAAAAGATACTGTAACTGCAGCAGAAAAAAAGAGCTTGAGCTTATACTGTGACAAGCAGAGTTATAGATACCTTAAGTTGATAACCTTAATTTGCATTAATCATTATAGGTTTATATAGAGGTTTTATTGTGTTAAAATAACACTTGGCTGTAAAACAGCATGTGCTTAACGTTTATTGTTCTTAAGGGAATCATGCCACTGCTGTGAGGGAATTTCAAATAATGTGCCATAATATTAGTTTCTATTCTGCAGTCAGCCTCAGATGGCTCATCATAGTCGAGGCCGATTCTTTCTTTGCATTATTGTAAACACAGATTTGGAAATAGTGAACAATATATTTCTTAGCCACATCACCATGACGCAGTTTCTAAATAAAGCTTAGGCCAATGTGCTGTCTTCACTGAAATAATGTCTTCATTCAACAGGTTTTCCATTCTTGTGTAAATGTTATGTAGATTAATTGTGCATTTTCTGATTCCTAATGCAATAAACGTAAATGCAAAAACAATGTTTTATGTTACCACTGAATAAAGGTTATGAATGACTAGGAGGGCTCAAGTGTGGTTATAATTTCCTTCAAAAATCCGATTAATTTTCATCCCTCATATATCATCAGCTCTGTGTGATGTTTTGTCTTTATTAACCTGCAGCAGTTCACGGATGACAAAGAGCTTTGCATTACAAAGACTACAGAGCGGACATTGTTTGAAATAGGAGAAACAGATTAGAAGAATGGCGAAGTCGACATTTAGATAGACATCTGAAAAATGTTGTTTCTTCAGAATAAGGAAATCCACTCTGTGATTAGTAGCCTTGGGATGTTACTGTTACAAGGTGCCTCCAAAAGATGCAGTGTTTTTCTGATGTGTTTGATCTTATCAAATACATGTGACCCACAACATTTCAGTGGGGACTCAAAGTGATTGCACTTATCATAACAAAGACCCATAAGGTGAATCCAGGTGAGTGGGAGAAAAGAATTGAAGAAGTGAAGCATTTGTTAACCACACAGCCTGTGGGCATGCAGGGTTAATTTATCAGTTCATCAAAACTGAAGGACTGAAAACAGTGGGCTAATAGTTTATGGTCCCATGATGAACAGTGCAGTGTTACCTCCAGTAAGATCCTTATCTGTCTTACAGTACACTTCACCTCATGTTGGAAAGATAGACAGAAAGACATGGTATCTGTTGATGTGACAACACCTCGAAGTTGATTTCCTGCTTCCCCCCTGAAGACTGGATGCACCTTAATATAAAGCAATGATATATTTTAGATCTGTGAGACATATGCAGTGTAATATACTATAAACTAAAAAAAACTAATGCTTGTAATGAGTAAGTTTGCATCTGTGAAGAATGCTGAATGAATACTTAACAAACACTATTTTATGACTGTGCTCTCTGTCAATTCACCTTCCCAGCATGCTTCATTTGTAAGCCCGTTTCAACAAATAGTTTCCAAAGCATCTTTAATGTGATTACTTTATTTTCATTAATAACTGTAACTCATTACAGTTACCACACTGTTGTAAAGTAATTAATTGCATGTAATTGCATGCAACTCTTATCCGGTTAGACTCGAGATGATATCACCCACGTCAACAAACTACCAGTGTACAAACATGCATGCATATATTTGGCCACAAGAGGGCACTTGTCAGCTCAATGTATGGGCATATCCTACAGCTCATACTTTGTTTGTCTGAAACCACGAAACCTACCATGACCCCCCCCCCTTTTTTTTTTTTTTTTTTTTTTTTTTTTTTTTACAGACTTTCATAGTGAGTTTTTGTAAAGACAGTGTGCTATTTTGTGTGAAGACGTGAGCTATACAGTATGTTTTTTCCGTCAACAAATAAGGCTGCATGGCATACTTGTGTATAGCAGACGGGGTTTCAATCCTGAAACAGGAGAGGATGTCTGACTGCTGGAAGGTGTCACACGACTAAACCACCATTTGATTGATTTAGCAGGACAATGTATCTTTATTTATATTTTCTGCTTTAACAAGACAAGATTATAATGCAGCCTACAGTGCCATTCTCAGGAGTAACGTGATAGTGGTTTATTTATGACATGAATGCTGCAGATGCATGTATATCTGAGCCGTTGCTTGCTTTGACAACAGGGACAAAGAAGAAAAATCTAAACGAGTCTCCATAAAAGCAAAATATAAAGCAAAGCCAAAACTCCGAGTGAGTGTGCAGGGCAGACACTCTTTGAAGAAGCAGTATCGGGTTTTAACTGAAACATCCTTAAAGTGGTAGTAAAAGACTTTTTTTTAAGGTCTCATAGCACTTCCGTGAAAAAGGAAAGATCACTTTCAAATGCCTGTCCTGCAGCAAAAGGACAGCAGGTAAAACATATACACTGATATGTGCAGAGGTCTTTGGTGTTTTGCCTGCTCTCTGATGCTCTGTGTTGCACCACATCGATGCTGAGCCGCCGCTGAAGGTGTCACTGCTCACCGCGCTGCTCGGCGCTGTCCACTGCCCGTGGTGCTGAACCGCAGACGGACAAACACACGGCGCTCTGCTCAGTGTCGCTGCGGGCGCTAAATTCTAATTATACGGTTAAATAGGCCGATTAAATCCACCGTATACACATGACCCACAGTCGTGACAAATCAACCAGGTGACAGACACCAAATTGGGAAATCAATTTGAACAAGTCTATAGACTGGATTTTTTTTGTGGCAAACGGGATTTAGTTCTGGTAATTTGATCGTGATGAAGCCCAGTCTGTCGATGTGCACGGGTTGTGCCCCAGGCCGATTACACAACAAGTCTGTAATCGCACAACTGGATGGAAGCAGGACGGATACCGGGACTCAGCTACCGGGGCTGACTCATACCTGCAGAGAAAGAGAGATAGATTTCGCTCACTTTAAAATGTTTTGTTGTCATCCGGAAATATTCATCAGGATGCCGTGGGATTCTGGTCATCAGTGCAAACGGACAGTAGAGAAATAAAGCTGTTTTTGTAGACGGAACATGGCGGAGGCGGTCAACGCTTCTCCGACTGACGGGAGCGACTCGTTTCCCAGCGAGGAATACGAGTGCAAAATATGCTACAACTACTTCGACTTGGATCAACACACTCCCAAGCTGCTGGCCTGTTCCCACACCTTCTGCCAGGAGTGTCTCGACGCTCTGCACTCCCGGGACGGCCGAAGATGGAGAGTGAGTTGCCCTGTGTGTCGCCACCGAACTCCGGTGCCGGAATATCGGATTCACAACCTCCCCGACAACACCGCAGTGACCGAAGCGCTGCCGCTCACAAAGCACGAGTGTGTGAATTCAGTAAACACAGACGACCACACGGGTCCACCCGTCTCTTTAGCAACCTCCCAGGAGAGCAGCGACAGCTGTCAGACTTGCAAACAAGTTGCGTTTACGACAGGCTGTGTGTGCGCCATCTTCTCTTTCCTGTCCATGGTGGTGCTGTTATTTCTGGGCCTCATCTTTGTACATAACTTCAATAACCCTACGTCACCAGTCGGCCCTGTCTGCTTGTTTGCCGCCAGTGTCCTCGCCCTCTTCTCTCTCATTCTCACTTGGTTAATATGCATGTTGAAGTACCGACCTGAAACTGAAGCGAGCAACTTCAGTTCCCTCAACTCTAATATAATGTGATGCTCCGGCTGATACATGAACCTCGCCTGACCAGTAGCTTTAGGCTAATAAAAGGGAAATGTCTTTATTTCAGTCTGCTTAGACATCCTTATAGGCGAGATGCCTTTGTCAGTATTAGTGTACATGGATGAACTAACCAATAACATCCCAATGACCTTTGTGGATAGGTGACATTAACAATGGAGTGGAAACTACAGAGGGGCGACAAATGAAAGGAAAAACCTGAAAAATGAGCGGAGAAACAGAATGACAATAACCCCATCCATGGGGCACGAGGGATGAGTATGAAAATGATGTGAATCATATGCGATGGTCTTTGCAGACACCAACTCTCAACCCAGTTGAACACCTATGGGAGATTTTGGACTGATGACTTAGACAGCGCTCTCCACCACCATCATCAAAACAACAAATGTGGGAATTCTTTTGAAAGAATGGTGTTCATCCCTCGAGTTCTGAGACTCGTAGCATTGAAACGTGTTCTGGTGACTCATGGACGCTCAACACCTTGCTTAGACACTCAATGTTGGTTTTTCCTTTAGTTTGTCACCTTTCTGTAGGTTTATGTAACAATTGAATGTCCGTAGCTTATACTTTAGACTGGGCTCCAAAAGTGTGACCATTCACTTTTACTTTGGTCAGTGCAATTTCTGAGAGCCTGTCACACATCAAAGTTCTCAGTATAAACCCTAGTCTTTAGCCCTCCTGGCCTCTGTATAGGCCTTTTTCACAGAAGACAAACTGACATGTCACAGTATGAAAAGCACAGGTGTAAATAGTAAAATAAATTGTGGCTGGGTTGCTTAGCTGCTTCAGTTTCAGGGTCCTGGTATTGTGTATGCTGGCTCACTGTCAAACTGTCATGACTTACTGGGACTAGAATAGAACAACACTATTGTTAATGGTATTAGCAACACCTGCCAAAATGTCTGGTGTGAAAAAAGCCTACTGACCTAAACTGATTGTATGAGCGTCATAGCTCAAAAAACTACCACAACTAAATGTAACCCATAAAACATTCCATGTATATCTACAACATGTACAGTAAAGGTAAACTACTATAGAATAAGTTTGGATACAGTATATGTAAAGCTTCAATGCCTCCCCATATTGCTTGATTTTCTTACAGAATGTACCTTTCATATGCAATTCTTATTATTTTTTTTATTTTCAACCCCTCTGAAGGGACATTGACCTCAAGTTCTGGTTTGAGAAAAATACAAATGTGATTGCGTGTACAGGCATGTCATACTATGACAAATGCTTAAGGCCTAAAATCATTGAAAGAGCACTTTAACTCGGCTTGCTAATGGAAATATTAGAAGCCACAGGCTGGAATAATGGGAAAATGCAGTAGCTCATTACAGTAGTATCCTCCCCTACTGTCCTCCCATCTCTGCTGCAATGAAACTATTCATGACAAATTTCATAAGGTGCTACACTTTGTGTCAAGCTGTTGGTATGTAACTGACTTATTATACTCTTCTTGTGCCGCCACCATCTCAAACAGCATGGCCTATTGTGCCAATGACAGAAACTGTTTACCCCGTAACCACCTCTGTGTTATTACACTGACTCCCCACTGGGGAACAGGTCAGCAGGGGATCCCAGGCCAATGACCCTGAGGGGACATGAGCCTTCACAAGATGAGAAATAACTTTAGGGTAGGGGGCCCAAAATAAGTAGTGTTGTAAAGTAGTGAGACAATGGAAGTGCAGATGACCTCCTAGGGGTCTTAAATCATCTGATGGGCTTAAGTTTGCTTTCCTAAGTCATATAAACTGCAAGAACATATAAACTCCACTAACGACGTGGTCCATGCCCAGATCACTCTCAAAGGCGTTAGTACACAGAAGCGTTCAATAAAAGAATGCCATAATTAAATTTTTGTGGATTTGTTTCATATAAATTAGGCTGCAAATACATATCCCTTCTCATCCATTGTCTCATCTGTTTGAGGAACATACACTTGTTACACAATGTTTGGGTTATTATTATTCACAAAGATGTCTTCATTTGGTTGAGGTATCTGCTGAATCCTAATAACACAGCAGGCATTTATCTCCACTTAGTGTTGTTTTAAGAGGCGACACTGGTCTCAGGAGTTAAAATCCATCTCTTTCAGGTCCCTCAAAGGGACTCCTTCATTTGGTCATCCAGTTGGTGAGTAATGCCACTTAAATGCCACCGTGACAAAAGCTTGGGGAAAAAAAAGGAGGGGTGGCAGGCTTCCACTGGGAGCCATAGGCAACACTGTGTCTGGGGCAGAGGGCTTCATTTCACAGGGACTGCAGGGCTTAAAGTTAAAGATTACTTTGAAATCTGCATCCCCTACCATCAAACTCTCCCGTTATATCCCACCCTCCCTCCTCCCTCCAGCCGTCACTCCCGAAAAATAAAAAGCTGTCGCCACAGAGCAGGGGATGAGTTGGGAGCAGATCCTCTTTGATGACAGAGAAGGATCCTTTTGTTCCCTAATCCCCACACAAGCCCTTCCCCCTTCGTCCCTATAAGTCCAACTGGACGTCAAGGGGCTTCGTAATCAGCCAGGGGCTCGAAAGTTATTAGTTTACCTGTTCCCTTTTAAAAGTTTTGAATGTAACAGTGATTATAATAACAGCTCTTACAAAAGCATGGATATTTCATTTAAGGTTATGAATTTTGGTCTTGTCAGCCTTGTTACGGCAGCAACAACTTACAACATATCATTGAGTCACATGACAGTGGTCAGTGATTGGTATATGTGGATCCCAAGGGAACAGCCATTAGCCATTGTGCATGCTGTCAAAAAAGCCGGGGTCACCCAGAAACAGACAGTTCCAGGATACATTTCTTGTCTTCCTGTGTCCTGCCTTTAAGTGTGTGCAAAGTGTGTCTCTGAGTCATTATCAGATTGGACACACGTATTTCACAGAGGAGATGAAAGTGTTCCTTTTGCTCATAACATCTGCCCTCTGATGGTTAGTGTCCCATCAAGATGACCTCAAAGACATAGCCTGAGGAGAGCGATTATCATCACTCTGTACTCACTCTGGCTTCATCGTGTGATCACATGCTTGTGCGTATGTGTGTGCCCAATCGTGGCAGAAAAGGCATGAACTTGTGTGTATGTGTCAATGTATTTGTCAGTATATGTCTGTACAGACATATGGCCTAACAAGCATGCAAACACCCCAAAGACAAGTGAGAAGGGATCAGTGTCCAGGGTCAAAAGGGGTCAAACAGGGCTTACCTAGCCATTTTACTTTCATCATGCTCAAAGAAGAGTCTCCTCTGTCCTGAACACTCACATACAAATACTAGGATCCTCTCTTTGCTTTATGAAAGGGTGCAGTGCAATGCCCTTAATAAAAGAAATGCACACTGACACCCTCTGGTGTATAAAAGTGAGAATGCAGCAAAGGAAAAATGGACAACACAGTATGCTTACTGTTTAAATTATACAATTATGAAAAATTATTAATTATATATATATGTATATCGAAAAATCAATCCATATTTTCATATGTTGGTTGCTGTTTAAAATTATTCATTAAAATAAACAGGTTCAGTTATAAAGTAGTGTGATAGGCACTGAAAATAGGAATAGGAAAGTCCTGCAGGTCCACACATACTCTAATATACATTTTCATAGATTCAGTTTATCACTCTGCCCTAAGATTCATTACTGGTGACAGTTATTCTAATCATCATTGTTTCTTGTATGAAAAGGTTTGGTGGGCATTTATAACAATAAGACGTGACAGGTATTGCTTTCTATTTATTTATAAAGCCCTAATGGCATCGTACATTACGTCCTTACAAAACTGGTCCCGTAGTCATTATTTGACCTGTTCAAGTGTTCAGCTAACGCTCCAAGTCCCATCTAAAAACTCTAATTTTGGGAAAACTGCTTTTAATTTTTGTGCTGCACACATATTTTACAACATTTGGTCAATTTAAAACCAATTTGATCACAGTCTACTCCGCTCTTGAATGTAACTGCTTTTAACTGTGTCCTGCTGATGTTTGTTTGTTTTCTCATTAATTATTTTTCTGTGCATTTATTGTGTTTTAAGTGTACTCTCGCCATCACTGAAAATTAGGACGTCCTTAATAATGCTTTAATTAAAAGTTCAAATGAATTTTATGAGAGATGCCACAACACAACAATGTGCAGTAAACAAAAAGGTATATCAAGGTTCAGTTTATTGGTCAATGTACTGGGAGAGTAATGGTGGGTAAGGTAGTTTTAACACCAACAACCATCCACAGTCATCAGTAGTTTTTGGTAGCCACTTCTTTTTGTGCCATTAAGTGCATCAGCAAACTAGGGAGTCCTTAGTGCATCCTGACAAACAAGATCTATTTTCAAAGTTACTGTCATGGGACCAGGCTATATTGATTTTCAACACTAGCACTGTGACTAATCAACACATTGTTGCAAGAGGCTCTATCAGGGATGGTGTCTGTCAGATGATTGCAGTCTAAGGATATTATTTGATGTTTTTGTTTCGGGCAGATTAAATGAAGTATTCGTCCATTGCTGACACGTATAAATGAGAGGGCCTAACTGGAGTGGGAGGGAGAAAACAAGGCCAGAAGGGACAAGCTGAGGGAGAAATACAAAGAGCTACAAGCCAAGGCCAAAAATAGCAGTGAGACAGACAGCTGGGAGGAAGGGACTTTCACCGCTGTCTAAGTCCAGACTTCACCAAAAAATTATCCAGAAACAACTGACAGCAGTGCGGACACTTCTTAAATCCCCTGAATCAGTCACTCTTGTTAAAGACGAGTAAACTGCAACGATTCTAATGATATTTAATTGTAAAAAAAGCATGACAAAACATCTTTATGTCCACCATCATTATCTACTAGAACATTACTTGTACTAAGTACTTCAAAACAATTTTTATGTGTGTACAAAAGCTATTACAAACACCAGAAGCTACGGTGTGAGTTGAAGTTAGTTACAACGGAATAAAGATGAGGAAGATGTACATTAGCACCAGATGCTGTTC